CTGGTCTTCCTTCTGGGCCCCGACCAGACAAAGCCGACGCCCAGCTCTTCCTGGAAGCAGACGCCTGGGTTCCTGCAGGTCTCCACTATGGGCAGGAGGATGGATGGGGGACAAGGGGCAGACACACGTCCCTCCCTGTGCTCAGGAAGCTAACATGTCTGTGGAAGGAAGGCACTGCCCTGGGGGGTTATCCTGAGACTGGGCGCCCCCCACAGAGGGTCAGAGAGTCGGGGGGCCGGTGTGTTGCAGGGACGATGACCAAGGACCACCACACCCCTCCTGTCCTCAAAGAGGACGAACAGCTCTCTTGCCCTCTCCGGCCATTCATGCAGCCCTGACAACAGCACAGAATCAGAAATCTCTTTCCCACAGACCAGCCAGAGTGATGGGACTTTAGCCTAAGACATTCTTCTGTTGAATCACAGCTTCCACGTCCCCCAGAACAAACCTGTATGCGTTTGCCGGGGCAGCTGTCACAAAGTCCCACAGACTGAGTGGTTTCCACACCACATGCTGATTGTCCCCCAGTCCCGGAGGCTGGAAGTCCAAGGTCAAGGTGCCGGCAAGGGCTGCTTCCTTCTGAGGCTGCGAGGGAGAGTGGGTCCCCGGCCTCTCTCCTGGCTTCTGGGGATTTGCTGGCATCTGTGGCATCCTTATCTTCATTTGCTTCATCCTGATCTCGGCCTGCATCTTGGCGTGGCCTCCTCCTGTGCGCCTGTCTGTGTCCCATTTCCCCCTCTTTATCGCCAGTCACATTGGATGGGGTCCATCCCGCTCCAGTAAGACCTCATCTTAACTAGTTACACCTGCCTCAGCCCTATTTCCAAATCATGTCACATTCTGAGGATCTAGGGGTTAGGATCTCAGCATATGAACTCGGGGGACACTGCCCCGACTCTGCATGTGTGAGCTTAGGGACTGTGGGCCGTCCGCTCCTGCACTAAGACAGCACAGTGCTTGTGGGTGCTTGGTGGGTGGCCCTGACTTCTCCGGGCCGGGGACAGGAGCACACATGGAGACCACAGCTCGCTGTCCCCCCCGCCCCACTCTGCCCAATGGGGGCCTTGTATGTGTGTGTAGACCACCTGGGCTGCCTGTCCACACTCCATCCACACCCTGCGGACAGCTACTCCCTGCCTCACCTCAGCCTCGGGTGCCCAGAGCTGCAGGAAGGCCCCAGGCCCACCCTAGGGGGCGAGTGCGGGAACAGGTCTATGCAGGCTCTGGATGAGGGCTGGACATTCTGGAGTGCCAGGCGCCCAGCACAGGGTGGTGGGAGGGTGTGGAAGCAGGTGGCATGTCACTTGTTTCCGTGGCTTCCTGGCCTGCGGGGAGAGGTGTGATGGGAGGGGGCCGAGGGGGACTGTCTAAAGTGCCAGGGGCCACTCCGGGCTGAGACAGTGCTGTGCAGACACTGGCTGAATGTGGATGGTCCCCCTCCCGACTCAGCCACGCCCACTGAGGCTGGGATACCAGGGGTACCAAGGGCCGGGGTACCAGGCCCTTGGGTCACAGAACCCCAAGCGAGACTCAGCCATAGCCAGTTTCTGGCCGTCACGGCCCAGAATGGGGAGCCGAGGGCTGCTGATCCCATTGGCTTGTCTTTGTGCCCCAAGCCCCCTGCCAGAACCCCACAGGGCCCTGACTCTATATCTTTAGAAGATTCTCCAGATCTAAGACTGAACGCTGTCTTGGTGAGGCCCTGGGGACAGGGCCCCGGGGGCCGAGGTGGTGCAGCTGACTGGGGAGGGCACAGCAGAGAAGCTTCACCGAGTAGCAGTGACTGAGCCGTTCTAAAGGGTGACCGTGAACCAAATTCTAGGAACAGGGGTCTGGTTTTACACACAGAACCTGAGGCCCAGTTCTCACCACAGGGATTCCAGCTGTTTCCTCACTCCCTTGGTCCCTGCCTGGGCTCCCAGCCCAGGGTCTCCGTCTCAGCCCTTCCAGACTGTCAGAGGACTGGGGTCCAGGGCGACCACACTGTGCATGGCTGCCCCGGTGTGCCCAGCACTGGCTAGTGTCCCCTGACGCCCTGTGGCCTTGACTTTGGCCTGACTACCTGCGGTCTTCTTGCTGGAAGGGGCCTTGGCCCGCTGGGGGAGGCTGGGGACCGCTTGCCGGGAGCACTTAGGAAGTCATAACTAATCTGCGTCCCGGATTGGAGAGGAAGACGGCGCCCCTCTGTTGGTACCACTTTCAGATAACAATCAAAGATGAAGGAACAGTGCTAGGAGAAGGAAACAAGGAGGGTACTTTATATAGACTCTCAGCCCAGGTTCTAAGGAGGTTTTCCCTGGAAACGCTCATAATTTGATAATGAAGTAATTAGCAAAGTAAGGTAAACTACACAGTAATGACCCTGAGTAGTATTAATACATTTCACTTGGTTTCCTACTTGTTCCATTTGCAAAATTAATTTTTTAAAAAAAAAGACTGACAAAAAAAGCAATGAAATTCCTGGAGGGGGTCACCCCATCTTGCATAGAACACAGACCATTCCTGTCTGACACACAGATGGGTCTTTGTCCCTTTGTTACTGGGATTAGCGGAGAAGTTCCCCCACCAAGTATGGGTGGCCTCTCCAGCATCAAAATCACTGTCTCTCGGATCAGTGCGGAGTATTTTGGACAGCAGTCGGCGTCACACTATAAATCACAAACAGATGTTTGGCCTGGCCAAATGCTGAATAAACTAACAAACCACCATCCCTGTTCTTAATTCTGGTTCATCAGGATCCCTCTCTTCTGCTTTCCTCCTCTGTAAGAGCATCAGCAGAGATGGTCCAGATGTGCCCCAGCCCCGAGGGAGGCCCATGCTGGGGGCTGACCAGTGCCACTGCTCCGTGAGCAGCATTGCTGAGGGGGGGACCCCATTTCTCAGCAGACAGGCAAGGGGGAGCCAGGTGGGAACACCAGTGCCCTCTGGAAATGGGCAACGCCTCCCCCGTGGACCATGGTGAGCACACTGCACTCAGGTTAACGTGAGGTGGAAGGGTCCTTTCAGCCAGCCAGCCAGCTGCCGTGGGAGGAGCAGGGCTGAGGGGACCCACGGTGTGCAATTAACATCTGTTCCCTGAGGCGTTCTCTCAAAAGATGCCTCGCTCTAGGGCTCTCCTAGAGACACAAGTAAATATTTCAGGATCACAGGATGCACAGTTAATAATTCGGGCACTTGAGGGTAAAATAACCTCCCAGGTGATTCTGATATGCAAAGATTGAAAACTGCTCTAGAGAAAAGATGGCGTATATGCCACAAACAGTATTTGTGATTAAAGACTGACAACAACACAAATGTCCATCAATAGGAGAAAAGACAAATGTATGTGGTATATCCTGGTAAAAATGAAGGAAACTGACATGTATCTATATATTTATCAGGAAGAAAACATAAAAACATTGAATGAAAAGTCAAGCTGGAGAATGCAGTAGGAGAGCATTCCTCTAAAATTCAGAAAACATATAAATATGCTGTATCCTGTTCACGGGTACGGTTATGTTACAGTGAAAATGTGAAAGTGTGGACTAGAAACAGACACAGCAATTTCATCATAGCGGTTGCACTGGGGGAGAATTCGGGACTGGAACTCTGGAGAGGACCCTGAGGTGTCTTTAATCATATTCATGTTGTTTTGGCTCTTTGACAAAAACTAAAATACCTGAAACAAATTTAAAAAACTAAAATAAATGATGTGGGCACTTGGGGTGAGGTGAAACATGAGAAGATGCGTTGCACAGTCCTTGGGGGTCCCCACCCCTCAGCGCCCTCTGTTTTTACTGATTGGATGTAATTGTAGGAGACGCGCCCATAAGGCAGCTGGGAGGATCGTGATGTCACTAGCTGCCCCTTTAAAAATAATATTTTAAAATTAGACCCAGTGATGACTGAGGCTTAAGCTGAGCAGTTCAGTGTCCTGGCAGGTCGCACTCTTACCTGCTCAGAATCTAAAGCTGCCGAGGAAGGTAGGGCACAAGACGGGCACTCAGCCTTCCCTCCTCCAGTGTCACAGCCAGGACCAAACCCCTGGGGTGCAAGGACCTAGTCCCTTGTGTCAAAAGCGGCCTTGTCTCAGGGGATGGGGGGGGTGGAGCTCAGTGGTAAAGTGCACACTTAGTATGCACAAGGTCCCGGGTTCGATCCCCAGTCCCTCCATTAAAAAAAAAAAACTCGTACCTTTGTCCTACGAACAAGACAAGAGTCGTCGGGCCGAACGGGACCGGGACCCGGACGGTGGGGGACGGGACC